GCAAATGAACGAAATAAATGAACGAACTTTTATTGCATTATGACGACCTTCAAAGTTTCTGCCCACGGGACAAATATTCAAACCCAATCATGTGATCATCAAAGCTATTGAACTGCCCTGCAAAGGGCTCTGTGAAGATGATCTGGGGTTTGTATTTAAGAAGTTGCAGAAACTTTGGTAAAGTGATATTGAACCTGGAGAGGTCTTATGTAGCAGGAAATGTAAATAAGGAAGATTGAGTGTGTTTACCGTCACTTTTAGTACAACCCTCTCATAACTGACTGTTTAATGAACTTTATTTTGATATCACCAACAATGCCGATGTGAATTCCAGAATCTTATTCCGGATTATTTTTACAATAGTCAAAGCAGAAGAATCATGAAATGCAAATCAATTAACAGAATATATTTTATAACAAAAAATTATTTAAGAACTTCACATATCAATGTAAATCAGTTTAGTTTAAACTGTCGTGGGTTTGACATCACATCAATCGAATAGAAACTCTCTTCGTCAAATTAATCAACATGAAGTGAACATTTTCTTCTTTGATCTCATTAACTTTCGTAAGAGTCGAACTGGAAATCAATTGCAGTAATCAAGAAACTCTAAGTTTGATTCCATTCGGTATTGAGCCATGGACAGAAGTTACTGAAAGTCTGATTCGTAACAAATTGGCGGACAAAGTAACAAAAGAAGGGTTGAATGAATAATAATTATAAATGTTGATGAAGTACTACTAATCTGAAAAGTTCTGTTCTTTCATTTTCAAATCTCCACTGTTTTATGGAGAACTCAACTTTTTCTCCAAATTTCACCTTTTTCGAGATTCTAGAATTGATATATTCCAAACCAAAGTCTCTCGAAAATAATCGAGATGAAATGAAAGTAGATTGTTTAGTACAACGATTTCGTAATTTACCAGCAATTTGTAGTATTGATAAAATTCACTTTTCACGTAACTCTGATTCTGCTGGACTGGACCGTGACGGTGATGCCAGTCATCACCCGAAGATGATTATAGATACTAACAATCGAAACGTCGTGAAGGAACTTGACTCGAAATGTTTCAATCTTGATTTTCATTTCTTTTTAATTGTTCATTTTTCAATCTGTTGCTTGTATTTTATGTCATTGTAATTTGAGTTTTTCATTGCTTAATATAATTTTTACATTCATATAAACAAATGAGCTAGAAATATACTACAATGACGGAATAAAAATGGCAGGTAACAAAATAAAAAAAAACTGGACCATAGTTAACAGTCTGAGAGCTAAATCAAACTCAACATGAAATCAGAACGTCAACATAAATCCCGAAACGCTTAATGACTTCTATTGCACAATTGTACAAAAATTACTATCAACCCTAGAACCTCAATCAGATCCCATAGAATATCCTAGCCATATTGATGTATCTAATAATTTTCACTTTAAAGATAGAGACTTATCAGAATTGAAAAAAATACTATGGGACATAAAAAACAAAAATTCTACTGGCATTGATGAAATTTCTGTAAAAATTCCACTGAATCATCCAGATGCTGATTTAGATTCACTGGCCAGAGCTATCAATAGATCATTTGCACTTGTAAAATTCCCCTCATATCTCAAAACAGCTCTTGTATTTCCACTATTTAAAGGTGGTGATTCAGAAAGTGATTCAAAAACTTGTCAAAAAAGGGCACTAGCCTTTCTACACAGTTACAAAATTTTATCAAACACCCAGTTTGGTTTTCAAAGTTCAGAAAGTACCAATGATGCAATTTTTCATTTTCTTGACCATGCTTATACGAACCTTGACAACGGGGAAACTGTAGCTGTATTTTGTGACTTTTGGGAAGCCTTCGATTGGGTAAATCATAATCTCCTTTTAAAGAAGCTCTGCTTCTATGGTTTCAAAGGTGCTTGTTATGACTGGTTTGCCTCATACTTAAGCGATAGAAAACACATAGTACCATGGAATGGACAACAATCATCCAGTGGTGAGATCTTATCTGGTTTCCCACAAGGATCAGTTCTAGGTCGAATTCTTTTTCTTCTGTATTTAAATTATCTGGCTTTCATTCCAATTAAAAAAACTTGCTATCATTTGAAAAATACAGTTGAATTTACAAAGTAATAGTTGTAATGCATTTCATCAGTTCGGACTTCCATTGTATACTATAATATAATTTTCAGGGATTTTAAATCAATTTATATTATATTAGACAATGGAAATCCGAACTGTTGAAATACACCACGAAACATTGTCAACCACCTTCAAACAAAAGTTGTAATGCAGTTTCACATGAATATTTTATTCGAAATCCAGATCAGTCCACAAATAAAATAATGGATTTTTCTCAATAAATTGTAATAACTAATGATATCTTGAGATTTCAGTGTTTTTGCTCTAGTTATAAATTTGCCGAATTGGATAAAGTACCCTTACACATACTGAAAAGCTGTGCTTATGAGATTGTATGTATTCTAACCTTCCCCATCAATAAATCATTTGAGGAAGGATAAGTTGGACATTTCCATCTTCAGGCCAATCAATCTTGTAACGTATGTATAAAAAAATTTTGAAATAGCTCATCGATTAGTTAAATTTTTTACAAACTTCAAAATGTTTTCTAATAACCAGCATGGATATCTAAAAAATAAGTCAATCAAAACTGCTTTGATGTATTTCAGCAATGAAGTCCTAGAAGCAGTGGACAAAGGAGATGTGGAGTTTTCATGGATTTATCTAAAGCCTTCGATTGCATAGATAATGACATTTTATTATGGAAACTCTATGAATATGGAATTCGTGGAAAATCTTACGGCTGGTTCAATTCATATTTGAAAAACAGAAAACAAATAGTAGAACTCAATCAAAAAGACAAAACGGCAAGATCAGATGCTTTGGATGAGTCCATGGGTGTCCCACAGAGTAGCATTCTCGGTTCAATATTATTTATTATATTTATCAACGATATTAATGAGCTTATAGCAGACATAAACACTGCTCACATGATCAATTATGCTGATGATATCAACCTTCTATTAACAGGTACGAACTTACCTGATATTATACTAAATGGTACAAAATAATAGAAGAATTCAAAAATTATTTTTTAGAGAATAAGTTAGTTCTGAACAATGGAAAATAAATTGTATCATGTTCAAAATCAATAACAGTATAGAAACCACAAAACATGATTATGCACAATCAAAAAATCTTCAGTGAAGTTTCGAGGCATATACATTGATGACACTTTAAGTTGGACTAGTCAGATAGACAACCTTTGCCATAAACTATCTTCGGTATCATACGCCATGAGAAGCACTAGTTACAGTATCTACATTATGCGAATTTTTACTTCGCTATGAGACTAGGGATAATCATATGTGGCTCATGTCATGGGTTGAATAGAGTTTTATTATGTCAACAAAAATTATCAAAATAATTTTCAATATGAATACAAGAGATTCCTGCAGATGAGCCTTCAAGATCAATAAACTACTTACTGTGTCAGCAATCTATATCGATGAATCAATAAAATTTATCATGAATCATCCAGGTCATTTTGACATACATCGCAAAACGCACTATCTATACTGGAATATAATAATCTTCCGAAAAACATAAAAGATTTTGTCGTTGCTAACAGATTTCTGAAATCCGTAAGAGAATTTTTATGTAATCGAGCCCTACAATACGGATGAATATTTTCTGGCCTGTAGATATTATGAACCAAATTTAATTAAAATTGCGCTATGTTTTTATAGAAATTGTTTCTACTTTTAATAATCATGCGCAATATGAGGCACATTTTAAAATGTTTGTAATCGTATTTGAAACATTTTGAATGTTTCATTTTTAGATTTATATGTAAGTACATATATTTGATATTTTTACAATTTTCTTTTGACGTATTTCTCAGACAAAAATATTCTGCCACTCTTGTGAATGATTATGTAATAAATGCATCTATCTATCTCTTGCCAATAGGGTATGTATTACGGTATCGGGAAGCTAGTTTTTTTTTTTTAATTATGTGCGATATGTTCATATGTAATGAAAACATTTTCAATATGTATAAGTTCAAAGTTTTTACCACCTTCAGTCGATAAAATTATCATTTCTCTTTGTGAATAAATATGTTCCACACTTTCTCTTGAATATTTGAAAAAACAAAATATTTTGGAATGAAATCTGGAAACATTTATCTCTACCAAAGTACCTACATATGCCGTATGTTCTGGTAAACTACTTCCCCGGCTAATACCACGCTGGACATTGGATTATATCCGAACATTTATGAAAGATACTTCACAGACGTTAGTCTTGCAGATGTGTGTCGTTCATCCAGCAGTAGGATCGTGATGAAATCAGTCGGGTAGATCACCTGAACACCGGTTCAGAGATATTACCTCCATTTCAACCCTAACAACAGTGTGCTTGTGACTCGATTAATTTCACCACGGCTCTACTACATGTATGAAACCTTCGTTTCAGAGAAATATTGTTAACTAGTAACAGCTCTATTTCGTGAACAAATCTCCAAGCAGGGAAGAAATATCCCATATATCAATTCTCCAACAGAAATCAAAATACATATAGATGAAAAAAATGAATATTTCGAAATGAAATCACTGTTTCATCATAACACAATACCATCTACTGAGAAAATATTTTTCATAAACTATGCGTGATAATAATTACACAATTTCCACAAACATTTTTATTTTCAGACGAGTTTCGTGTAGCTTCGGTAGCACTGAGGAAGTTACTGGGACTGAACAGTCTATACTAGTGGTTACGTATGGATAATTACTTCATTTTGTTAATTTCTTATCGGAAATTTCCAACAAATAATAGTTTTTGAATGAACACAAGAAAACGTCTATCATTTTTTGAGATTAAGTCATCAGACTGATTTAGAAACATTATCTCTCGTTATCATAGAATGTATTCCGTATTTCTCTATTTTTGGAATCTGTAATCAGTCTCATTTTGGCATATCAAGTAAACAAACATCTGTTAATTTCGCGATTTCTAATGAATCATATCAAATCGGTGAGTAGAGAGTTTTACAAATAGTCATGCAAATACTTCCCAAACGACTATTCAAGAAACGAACGACATTATTCGTAATATCAAAACTAAAATTTGAAAAACCATTTCTCTGACGAAGAGTAATTTTCCAGAACCTATCTATGTATGATCACCCGATTCATTCAAGCAAGATCGTGCTGCTGGACAAACGACAACCATCTGCATGAATTTTCTTTGTGAGAAAACTTTACAAATCCGGATAACACGATGACCATTTCAGGACTAATAAGGTCCTAGAACTTCTCCGAGCAGTTCTATGACAGTCAGTAGGACCAAACGGAAAGTATTCTTCGGGATTAATGATAATATTCAAAGCCTGAGGACACCCTATTTCACTCTTAAATATGATATCTCATTATATCATTTATGTTCCCAAGGATAAAACGGGGACTGTACTACAAAACGTCTGGAAGTAGTTACTGCATTATTATGAGATATTCCGTAAAATCAATCGGAATGAAAGTCAATATATATTCATTTGCTTCAAAATATGTTTTCAATGTCAGTAGTTAGTTCAAGCCGATTTCAGAACTTCCCCCCACCATTTTTAACCCTGAAATGACCTCTACGTCACACGAAGTAGCGAAGGTGACTTTGAGGGGAAGTTATGAGTTTGACCTTGAACAATCTTAACCTACGTCATACGGCAAGGCAGACAAGGTGACTTTGGGGTGCTGTTTTGGGTTTAACCTTGAATGACCTTCATTCTTTTCCTTAATTTTCAACAAGGTGACTATGACTTCCAATGAATTCAAGCCAGCTTTGCACCTAAACGATCTAACGTAACCAAGGTGACTTTGAACAATTGTTTTAAGTTTGACCTTGAACGACCTTAATCAACGTTACACAACGCAGGCAAGGTGACTTTGAGGCAGTGTTTTGAGTTTGACTTTGAATGACTTTCATTCACTTCCCATATTTTCAACAAGGCGACTTTGACTCTGTATGAACTCAAGACAGTTACGGGGCTTTCTTGAAGTTTTGAACCTACACGACACAATGTAGCCAAGGTGACTTTGAGGGAGTGTTTTGTGTCTGACCTTGAGAGACCTCCCACTACGTCACGCGGTGGAGAAAATATTATTTTGGAGTAGTGTTTTCGGACACCCAGCTTGTGGTAAAGTAGTACCCCCCTTTTCTTCAACCACGTTCTATAAATCTTCGGAGGATCACCATTTCACATTCAGTTTGAATAACCCAACGTACTCGAATAGATGAGTGAAAGTAGTGCTGCAAAGTGGCGGAGAGTATTACGTCAGGAGTATACACAGCAATCCAGGTGAACATATTTTATATTTCTATACCATAATTCCACTATATTCGAAATGGATCATTTGAAATTTAATATCGAAAAGATCAATTCTGCAATAATTCAACAAACTGAGGCTATGGAGCAGAAGCCTTTAATATCTTTGACTATCGATAAACGTTATAAAATTGAGAAGATGTCGATGCTCTCCACGCGATATGGTAAATCCATTAAAGTAGTTTTGTTGGACGAGGAAATTAATACTTCTTTTGAATCATGGCTTCCAAAACGTGTCACAGAACATTTTACGGAAGAAATGATTCACGAAGTGAATTCATCCAAAGCCAAATTAATTTTTACATATATGGGTCAGAGTTCTCAGCTTTATGCTGGTGCCAAAACCCGGTCACTAGTCAAATTCGATATTTTAGATTGAATATAACTTGAATATCTTTTCTATATTTTTTACCACTTTTATTTGTAACTGAAGTTACTGCAGTTTCGTCCTATATGGACATTCTCTATCTTATACAATAAGTTTGAATTAGATGGCAATCTTATTACAATCCAGTCTGAACAGAGCCATTTAGGGCATTATAGGACAAAACAGAATCGTGTAGGATGAGTGCATATACTTTGGTGTTCGTTGGAAGTTTTCATATGCATAGTAGGCTAACGAGTCTAACTTCTTGTCAAAATCCATATTCCAACGTTCATATGGGTATACTATCGAGTTTAGAGATAGTCGAATATTATTAATATTCGCATGTATGAATTTCGTCTGATCTTTTGACATACTTTCAGATTGATCGGTGCTTTGAGAGCCGATGATGATGTATCGAGGTCTTTCGAGGCTGTTGGTTGTCTTCACCCCATTTTTTAGAAACAATTATGGTGAAATCTATAGCTTTATCAATTATTATCAACTGCTCAGCGTTAAGGAATGATAAATACTGAGGGTTGTTTTTTCAAATCAGATTGCATCGATTTGATATCCTCTTCCATATGTTCTCATTTTTTACAATTTCCACTAATTTCAGCCCAAGCGTAATGAGATCTTCCCTGACTGATAAGGAATATTTTTCTGCTCCATCTAATCTCAAATTGATTTTATCAATATCAAAATCTAATTCTCCTCTGATATTTGAGATCATATTCCCGATTAACACAATCCGTACTCTCTTTAGGCTCGGCTATATTTTTCAGACGTTTATTTTCCATATCAAAGTTTCCATCGGAAGTCAATTTAAAACCAACTCCAGGTTGTCCTCGCAAAACAGTATCTGAAACTGCCTTACTTCTGCGACCAAACTTATCGATCCCTTCTCCACTCATTTTTGTGATAAACTTATGACGGTCGTCGATGTTGTGAATCAACATATGGGAAATGATGATTGTTATAGCCTAATCAATTCCAATTCAACTATTATTTTTTCACCATTGAAATTGATTAGATTACCATTATCATCCAATATGCGTAAAGTGATATTGTCGCGGTACTTACGACCGCCAGGCTGGATTGGCATATAAATAATATTTTGCGGTTCCTTGATGAGTTTGTAACCGGGCTCTACATCAATATCAAATTCAAAGATGCTATGGATTTCATCACCATTTGAATATGCTCCAGTTGTGACATTATAATCCACACGAATAATTCTCTCCTTATTGATATTTACGGGCAATGTTGATTCATAAGTTTCATCAATGCCAAACACATCAGCTTCGAACCCTAAAAGTTCGGCAATAGTGTTTTCATGTTTGAGATGGATGTAATATTTCGACCTCATTTCACATTTCAGAGTGTTGTTGTTTGCGTGTAGGAGAAATACTCCATCGATATTCTCCTCAGCTCCATTTTCCAATTGCATTTCTTTGGATTTGATGAATTTTTGAATTACCTTATTGATTTCATCAATTTCATATGCTCCAGGTGGAATTTTTATAATGATAGAAGGTTAGTTAGCTTTTTTAGAATAGGCGATAACATTATTTTTCACAGTAGGTAGAAGTTGGCGCTCAACTCGCTGGAAAAATCGTTGTTTTTTAGGTGGTCTGTCCAGATGATCCATCCCATTATGTGTGACTACATTCACATCATTCACTTTACAATAACATCATTCACATCGGAATTATTGCTGTTGCCGCTGAAATTATTCTGATGGTCTCGGCAGTACTGATATTTTAAGACATCAATATCATTTTGTAGATTTTGTGGTAACTTATCCTATACAGATGCAATTTCATGCGATGCACACCCAATCAACACCTCTTTCGGCATATCAGCGAGATGTTCTTTACTCATTTCACGTAAAGTGCTTACTCTGGGATATGCGATCAATGAGTGACTCATCCATGTCTTGCTCTGTAGAAATTCCAAACACAAATAATAATAATAATATCGTCTTTATTATCTTCTAATACATTTGAAGCAAATTATTCATGTACAGTTCATTTATTATAGGAAGATAAAAGGCGAAATTCAATTTACATGATGACAAGTCATCATTCAATTGCTCTTCCACTTAACCACACCATACTGTGTTGAATTGTTGTTTAAGCTCTTAGTTATATGTGATAATATTGATAGGATTTGAACTCCTATAAAAACAGTGAATCAATTCTTTTGGAGGGGGTGAATCACCGAAACTATCAAAATATTTCACTGAAGTGTCACTTTTTCTATATGCTACCCAATGTGTCCCTTGACCACGTCGACTATCCAAATTTACTATGGCAGATTCATATCGGAGTGGTCCCGATTTTGGCAAATCGTCACGCATATACACCCCCCGAAAATATGGAATCATCATTTTCTTAGCATGATAGTTGAGGTCGATGTTGGAAATAGTTTTTTGAGGTAGCAAATCTATGAGTTTTTCGAAATTTGAGGTTTCAAATAGACTCAATTGCTCCCTACTCGCTTTCGCTGCTTGTACTGCTTTTGTTATGCCAGCTGTAGCACCGGCTAAACTTCCTAGCGCCGATAAACCAGCAAAAATTGGAATGAGTGGTAGTATTCCACCAATTTAAGGAATTGGTATGATTCGCGGTGTGCGACTTTTCTTTTTCCCACCCGCAGCCCTCGTATATTTGCGTGCTGCTTTTAGTGCAATTTCAGCTGATCTTTTAGAATTTTTGACAACAAATTCACTTCTGCCCTCTTTGTGTAGAACATCATGAACTTTCTTAACGATTCCAGAACCAAAAGCTATCACCTTAGAATCTTTCAATATTTTTTTTTTATTTTATTTTTTTTTCTTGGTAGAACATACCAAATCATCGTATTCCCTTCATTATATTCGTAATCAGCCAAGCGGCTCTTTTCTCTCCAATAGATGCGTCTTTTGCGTCGATTCCAAGCACTTTTTGCAAGCTCTTGATCCGCTATGTGTCTAGCTGGAAGATTGTTAGGATTCTGTGAATATGCAATATCGTGTTTTCGGCATGCAGAATCCAGTTGATTGACACCCGGATCACCTCTTGCCAATCTTTTCTGCAATTTGGTGCCAGGGCCGCAAAACTGATAGCCAGGTAAATGTAATTCGAAAGGTAGACTATTGATGAGGGAATTGACCAATCCCCTACCAAATTTATTTGAATGCCGCTCAGGAGATCTGTATCGGCTCATAAACCCGATTTAAATAAAGGAATCGATATGGAGACCTGCTTATATAGTCCCAACTGTCATACAATGCGCAAACTAAAGCAG